CATACCATGCATGCCATGTGCAGCTTCTAGAACAGAAGGACAAATTGTCCCAAATGTTTAAAATCCTTTTAGCTGAATCCATTATATGAATATCTGACAATTGTGAACTAAGTCTCATTTAGCATGCTCGGATGCTCTCACTTAAGGCAATAATTACTGAAAAGAATGAGTTGTATAAACCTCTTTCCCAGCACGTTGGTTGACAGGACACCCCACTGGCTATAATGCAACCCTCAGGCAGAGCTTTTTATATTCAAAGTTGAAAAATTATCCCTTGTAAATGGCAGATTGAGAATTTTCACTGTCAATCTTGCTTTCCACTCAGCTACATTTCCATTTCACGGAACATCTTGGATCTAACTCAGGGAGGTCCCTAAAAATATAGAGCAAGAATAAATCCAAAAAGCGGAACAAAGTCTGATGACAAGAACCTCTCTGCTAGATCAATGACAGGAAAATCTCCTTTCGGCGAAAATTCTTTCAAAGGGTGTCTTTCAAAACCCTAAGGTAATACCCTGCATCCAGGGCAAGAATATCAAGAGCAGCGGGGGTTGGGAGGATTTCACCTCCAGGACAAGAACTATGTTTGCACTACATCAGGGGTCACATTGCAGAAATACATAGAGTTTAAAGCTGCAAGAGACTGTTACAAGTCTTCTAATCTGACCCACTGTGGATATTTCCATCCAAATGGAAATTCAAACTCCATGTGATTACTCTTCATAATGTGTCATTCACAGCCTCCTGAAAGGTGTCTTTAATGTTGGGCAGCTGTCACCCCATTTTCTTAATCATGAGCCACAACTTGAAGCCTTTTAATTTCTACCCATTTTCCCCTCCAGAGCCAAATAACCCAGCTGATTTTGAGCTATAGACTTTCCCGGCTAAGCTATATAATCACATTCTTTTTGCATACGTGCTCAGTCGTGTCCAACTCTTTGTGATCCCACGGGCTGTAGTCTCCCTGGCTCTTCTGATCATGGAATTTTTGAGGCAAGAATACTGGAGTGGGTTGCTATTTCCTTCTCCACGGGATCTTTCCGATCCAGGGATCAAACCTGCAACTCTGCATCTCCTGCATCAGCAGGTGGATTCCATAAAATCACACAACTCCCCCTTAAAAATGTTATAATTCATGGCACTGTTTGATGTGGAATAAGTTAAAAGCAATTTTAAATGACTTTCATTTTTATATATTATCAAATATTCTATTAGAAAGTTTATTATCCTCATGAATAACAAGTAAACATGTAAAAATAAATTCTTATTTTTCCTTGTTTATCAAATCCTATAAACTAGGTAGTTTACTTTAATCACATGAGAAAATGCATTTAAATTGTACTAGGTATATATATACATGGTTTGGTGAAAGACTGAATCTTGAACTAAAGATTAAATTTTAAATACCTGTTTCAGTTAAGAAGCATGTTATTTAGGCACTTGGGATACAATGATGAAGAGTATGCAGAGTCAGCCCCCACCTCTGGGATTCTGATTCATTTTTTCAGGAATAAGTCTTTAGAGTTGTATTTTGTTAAATCCACTCAGGAGATTCAACTGCACACCAGGCTGACACCACCAGTAGTTGGTAAGTGCAGGGTGTCTACACTGAATGAACTGCAGATTTAAATTATTCACGCAGCATATTTGCAATACCTATATCTGACAAGGAACCCATATCCAGAATATACAAAGAATTCTTACAGAAAATTTTAAATGAGACAAGCACAGTTAGAAAATTTGCAAAATCCCCCATGGACATAAAAGAGAATATCCAAGTAGCCAATAAAAAGGGTTGCCACTTCATTAGTCATCACAGGAATGCAATCTAAAGCACATTGTATTAACACCTCATACCCGCCAGAATGGCCAAAATGAATAAGCCAGACAACACCAAGTCCTGCTCTAGAATGAAGAATAACTCAAATTTTCATCTGCTGTTGATGGAAACATACGTCTTCTTTGGAAGACAGTTTGGCAGCATCAGACAGAGTTGCCTGAATCTATGTCCTATAGCAATTCCTCTTCTGTGAGTATGTACCTTCCTCTGTGAGTACATATTTTCACCATAAAACACGTGGAATAATATTATGTACTATTCGCTATAGCCAAAAATTGCAAATAACTCAGTCCCTCAGCAGTAAAAAGGATAAATAAACTGAAGTATATTCATTTATGGAGATACTGTATAGCAATGAAAATGAGCAAACTATTACTGCATCCAAAAACATGAACAAATCTCACAATGTTGAGCAGATGTAAGACAGAAAAAGAGTATATTCCGTCATGGTTCAATTTTATGAAAATCAAAATCTAGCAAAACACATCTACAGTGTCAGAAGTCGAGACAGTGGTTAGCCCTGGGGGAGAAAGTGACTGGGAGAGGGCATAAGAGAGGTCTCTGCACTGTTGGTTAGATTTTGATTCTTTATTTGGGGGATGAGTTTGCTCATTTTTTGGAAATTCACACTTAGGATCTTATATTTTTCTGAAGGCAGTCAGATTTTTTGATGACTCCTGATAGTAAAAATAATAGCCCAGGGGGGAGGACTATAGCTATCAAGCTGCTTCATCTGTGACCAGGCGGGTAAGCTCAGTTCAGGAGGATACTGGGCCCAAGGTGCCTCTTCCAATTCCACTTTGCTCATAACAAAGTTGGTCCCATGAATCCCTGATTCCTATAGCTCTTCCTCAATTGCTTCAAAATCTGGAAAACTGATGTACTCTTCATATGACCCTCAAATCCCAATACAAAGGCATTTTATTGTTTCAGAGTTTGTGTGTTACCAAAAACGTGGGAAATTCAGCATGATCACGGTATAGAAGAAACGTCAGATCGTGAAGACAGAACTGAAGGGGCAACTGGAAGATGGATTGTGAAGGATATTTTACACCATAATAAGGAAGGTTTATTCTTTATGGTTGGCAGTAAGAAGACTATGGAAATCCATAAGCAAGGTAATGAGATAATTGGATTTCTTTTGAATTTATTCACTCTAGTAATAAAGCTATGGATTAAATAATAATTGTACCATTTATAAGGAAATTCAGTCAATGAGCTATATTATGCCATATATTTAAATTCTTACTCTGCAATTAGTTATGCAACCTTGGTCCTCTCATGTTTAATCATCTTCTATGCAATAGTTCCTGGCTCAAAATGTTGACTTGAAGGCTAATTAAATGAGAAACTAGATGCAACCAGGTAGCAATGGATAATAATGGCATTTGTTAGTCGTCAAACATTTGAGATATTCATTGTCACGTCCAATATATGATGTTTAGGATAATCATTAGTATAGCAATGCTGTTCAACTTCAACCCGTGCTGTCCATCAAAATGATTCATGAAGTTTCTGAAAATATATCTGTCCAGGTCCCTTCTCAAGATTCTGATTCAGTGATTCTGTGGGGGACCTAAGCATCTGCGTGTACTTTAGATTCCACAGATATTCCACAGATGCACAGACACAGTCACAAGAATACTTAATTAGTATGTGGGAGATTAAACACTACTTTCAGATCCCCTTGAGAAGGAAATGACAACCCACTCCAGTATTCTTGCCTGGAAAATCCCATGGACAGAGGAATCTGGCAGGCTACGGTCCATGGGGTTGCAGAGTTGGACACAACTGAGCGACTAACACACTTCAGATTCATTAGTGATATGTCTTGTATATATACCATAAATAACATAGAAGTTGGCTTAGAGTTCATGTCTCTGTACCTCAGCTTCCATAATCACAATGTGAAGAAATATGAATAATAGTTTTGTTCAAAACAAATACCATGTCAGAGGCATACCTGTAGCTTAATATAATAACACATACATGTAAGACCAGGAAAGCTAAGGCGTGTTCAGAGGAAGGGATCCAGGTGAGGCGACGAAACAGCATCTATACAGGTTAGTCCATAATTCACACATACAAATGAGTCAGAGGTCAAGATGTTCCGGTCAGTTAGAAACCAAGAAGAAAAGGAGAAACTGGTGCCTGCCTGGAGGATCGGAGCAAACAGAAGGCGAGTGAGAGACAAGGAGAAATGGATGACCTGAAGATTCCCAAAGCTGGAAGTCAAGGTAGATGGTCAGAAGCCGGGCGGTCAGCAGGAACCAGATGACTTACAAATAAGATGAGCAGAACAGATACCAGGTATGAGAAAAAGGAGAGCTGGCAGGAAGCCTCTTATATTCTTCCTGTTGCAGCAGGAACCAATCTAGGCTTGAAGGTGAAAGCAAGTGAATGGATGAAAATAGAGGAGGCAAAGTTTATGGAAGCAGGAATAATACAAAATCTCTGATAAATAACACTAGACATCTACAAAGATGCAAAAACATGGAGAGATGCTATTAGCATTCAATACTACTAAAGCAAATTTATATTCAAGAAGCTATGACACATGACAAAATATATCAGAGTAATGTGATTTAAAAAGAAAAATGGACCCCCACACTCCCCCAGGGTGAGCCAGCCGCCGCCCCAGAGTGACCCCCAGAGTGACCCGCCTGGGGCAGGAAGCGCCAGATGAGCCCACTGTGAGGCCGCTGTGGGGGAAGCGAGGGTTCCCAGTCCCACCTCCCCTCCTAAGTGAAGGAGCTGAGGCCCCAAGACTAGTGGAGAAAGGAACCCAGCCAGCAAGCAAGCTCACACAGCGTGCACGACGTGCAGGGCTCCGGGCGCCGGATGTCCCTGCACCATCATGAAAGTGAAAGTTGCTCAGTCATGTCCGACTCATTGCGACCCCATGGACTTCTCCAGGCCAGAATACTGGAGTGAGGAGCCTTTCCCTTCTCCAGGCGATCTTCCCAAAGCAGGGATCGAACACAGGTCTCCCTCATTGCAGGCGGATCCTTTACCAGCTGAGACACAAGGGAAGCCCAAGGATACTGGAATGGGCAGCCTATCCCTTCTGCAGCAGATCTTCCTGACCCAGGAATCGAACCGGGGCCTTCTGCATTGCAGGCGGATTCTTTACCAATTGAGCTCTCAAGGAAGCCGCACCATGGTAGCCGACAGCAAAGATGAGGAGCCTGAAGTCTTCTTCATCCGGGACTCCTTGGTCCAGCTCACGGACCAGTGGGGCGATCTGGCGGGAGCTCTTTTCCGCTCTGCACGCACTTACCTTTGGCATTGGCGGTGGCAGCACGCAGCATGGGCTGTGGTGTCGGGAGACCGGAACCGGGAGCTGGAACACCTCCGCCCCTAGACGGTGGTGGTCTGGGTGAGTACCAACAAGCGCCGGCGCACCGCAGAGCAGGTGACTGGCGGCATCAAGGCCATAGTGCAACTGGTGAACGCGGCGGCAGCCCCAGGCATGGGCTACGGTGCTGGGCCTGCTTACTCGGGGCCAGCGCCCCAACCCACTTCAAGAGAAAAACCGACGGGTGACTGAGCCCGTACTGGGCACCTCTGGTTGGCCGCCTACGGGCCCAGTTCCTGGATGCAGATCCTGGCTTGGTGCACCCAGATGGTACCATCAGCCACCGTGACACGTATGACTACCTGCACCTGAGCCTTCCGGGGTACACATCTGTGTGCCGGGCCCTGCACTCCTTGCTTCTGCATCGCTAGCCCAAGACCAGGGACAGGGTGGTGCCTCCCTGCTGGAATCCACCCCCTAAGCATCTGCTTTTCCTGCAACATTAAATTTTCATTTTTCAGTCCCACCCCCAAAAAAATGGAACACAGAGAGTAATTTCATTCATTCATTCAACCAAATAACAATAATTGAAAGTCTTCCATTGTCAAGTCTTGTGCTAAGCACTAGGTATATAAGGACAAAAACAGAGCTTTTGGGACTTCCCTGGTGGTCCAGCAGTTAAGAATCTGCCTACAGGGGACACAGGTTCGATTCCTGGTCTGGGAAGATTCCACATGCTCTGGGGCAACTAAACCTGTGTGCTGCAGCTACTGAAGCCCATGCGCCCTGGAGCCTGTGCACCGAAACAAGAGAAGCCACTGCACTGAGAAGGTGGAGCACATCTATTAGACTGTAGCCCACAAGTAGCAACGAAGACCCAGCATGGCCAAAAATGAATAAATACAATTTTTAAAAATACAGTATTCAAGGATCTTACTATCTGGCAGGAGCAACGAAGATGGAGTTAGTGACATATCCAGTCCTATGACACAGTTAATATTAGAGTGTCAGGCAGGACTTCCCAGTGTGAAGCTTTGAGGAACTCACAGGCATTAGTTATATAACCCACTGTGAATGAACAGCATGTTCAAGAACAAGATGGCAAGGAGGGTGCGGCATGTTTGAGGACTTGGAAGTAATTCAATGTGGCTGCAACATATGCTGTGAGGTTAGGAGGAACGGAAAGTTGAGGCTGCAGAGATAGACAGGGGACCACTAATGAAAGGCCATGTTAAAATGTTTGGATTTTCTCCAAAATAGAATTTTCTCTGACTTTGTCATTTTAAGTATCATATGCAAGGATCTTGCAGCAGACAAAATGAAATGGAAAACCAAATAACATATGAATTCAGCCATGCAATTATCCATGTGTGGTCAAATAGGAATTCTAGTTAAAAATAAACTAGTTTAGACCCAGTCCTGAAAATATAAAGGAGCCTCTTTTGGGGGAGTCAGATACAGCTGCAGTGCATACATCAAATTTGTTTCATCGCTTCAGGATTTGGTGTTGCAAAGTCATCTTAAGAAAGTCTACAGATATCACACTTAGGCCTCTAGACAAGTCTAACTCTATTTGGCATTAATTTTTAAAAATAAGTACAGATTTTACAACATCTTTGAAAATGAAGGATGGGGAGAATAAAGAATCATTATATCAAGCAAGAAGAATGTGTTGATTTAACAACAAAATGGTGAGAGGTCCGTGTTTTTTGACAGGCATACGTTTTCAACTATCTTAGGATATGTCAGTTGAGGGAACAGTCCCAGTTAAGACTATAAGGAAATTATTTAGGAATTTTACCCTCTTTTTTAGCCACACATTCACTAATCAATTTTTTTTCTCTCTTATTCTTAGGATGCTGGGGGAAAAAATCTACAACTGCGTGGTTTGAAGACACCACAAATTTAAGATCTGCAGCTTCGGCAGGGCTCCATGCCCTGACCAGCATCTCTTAGTCCGCTCTTCTTCTTCTTTCTCCCAGCACCTACGCTAAACATTCCCCTCTTTCCCAAGCCTTCCTGCTCACTTCCGGCAAACCGTCTTGTTCTTACCGGATGTAGGAACTGAGTATGAGAGATTACATACACAGTTGACTAAAGATTGTGAGATCAGCAGATATCCAAGGAAAACTTCCACATTGAGGAATAACTGACAGGGATGACAAGAAGCCTTAGAGAAAGCTGAAAGGAGGAAAATTAGGAGGCAACCAGAAATTTTAGTGTTACAAAGCCCATACAAAGCCCACTTGATACTGAGAGATCAAATATGTTAAGCGTCAAAGGGTCCACTGAATGTGGCAATATAATGATCATGGTAAATAGTGACCTTATTTCAAATAATTTCAATGGAGCAATGAGAATAGAAATCAGATTCTAGTTGACTGAACAGAAAATGAGAGAGACAGGAAAAAGCAAGTACATAATCTTCTTTCAAGAAGTTTGTCTGTGGGGACTTCCCTGGTGGTCCAGTGGTTGGGAGCCTGACTGCCGATATGGGGGACATGGGTTCGATCCCTGGTCTGGCGGGATTCCACTTGCTGAGAAGCAGCTGAGCCTGTGTGCCTCAACTACTGAGCTGGTGCTCTAGAGCCCACCAGTCTGAAACCTAGAGCCCATGCTCCACAACAAGAGAAGCCACCACAATGAGATGCCCGTGCACCACAATGAAGAGTAGCCCCTTCTCACCACAACTAGAGAGAGCCCGCACATAGCATTAAAGACCCAGTGCAGCCAAAAATAATACATATAAATAAATAAGTGTATGGGTTTTTTTAATGGCATTTCATCATGAAAAAAAAGGTTGTCTATGAAACAGAAAGATGTCATGACTGATTTAAAAGGACAGGGGACTAAAGGAAGCTTTCACTGTGGATACGGCAATGGTGGTGAAGGTAAGCAGAGGTGATTAGGAGGTGGCAGAGGTGATGGTGAAGATGGTAGATGTGAAAAGGGTAGAGGGTAGCGGTCGTGGTGGTCTTGGAGATGATGAAAATGGTGGAGGTGGCAGAGGCAGCAAAGGTGGTGATGTAGATAGATGCTGAGGCAGTGGTGGTGGTGGTGTAAGTGATGATGGACATGGGGATGGTGGTTTTAGTTAAGACGGTGATGGTTGTGGTAGCAGTGACAGTAGAAACGGAAACGGTAGTTTTAAATATAGAAAATTCTCGAGCATGTTTATCTACTAAGATGAAAGAACCAGTAGGAGAGAGAATAAAGAAAAAAGGATGGAGCTGGTCCCAAAGAATAAGACAAGGAGGTTAGAGTGCAGGTGGAGGAACTAAATTGCAACACCATCTTCCAGAGGTAAAATTCCCATAAGGAACTACCTGCAGATCTCCAAATGTGTCATAGATTTCCATGCCTCTCGGCCTCTGCACAGGTGCTATTCCTTTAGCCTAGAACACCCTTTCCCTCCCTCATCTTCTGCATGTTACTTCTATTTTTTGTTTCCTTCAAAATGGAATTTCATATCTATCCCTTTCAGGAAGACTTTTCTAATCCCCTCCTCCAGTTTCATAGGATTCCAAATCTCTGGGCTTCCATAATATGTGGGACTTTTCATACTATATTGTAATTGTTCTAGTTCCTGCTAGAATGTAAGATCCATGACAGCAGATATCATAGTTCATTAGATTTTCATTTATTAATTCAACTAAATTAATATACCACTACTACTACTAATAAAAATCGTTGAGCACTGACCACATGCCAAACAATAGTGGGCAAATTTCAACCCATCTCCTGTTTTCATGAACACAGTCATACCCAATCAGCTGCTTTCACACTCCATCAGCAAGTTGAGCAGTTGAAACAGAAACTGTATGATCCTCAAATCCTAGAGTTTTACAATCTGATCCAAAGTAGAAAAAGTTTGACAACCTCTGGTTTAATCAACAGGGATGTTAGACTGAATCAGCCTTGTCCCACGGGAGTCTGTACTTCAGTTGGAGATACAGGCAATTATAGCACAATGTGGTAAGTATTTTAATAGTGGAAATGAAGTGTACTATGGGAGCACCCTGGAGAAACACTTATCTGAAGTTTGGGAGATCAGGGATTCTGCATATCTAACATCTAACACTAGTTAGCAAATTAACAGTGGACCAGTTTTTCGTTTTTTGTTTTGAAGGGAAGAAATCACTTAGGACATGAAATATTCAAGTAAGATACTAAGGGATATGGTTGAGACAGCATTCCAAAGACTGCTGGTATTTGCACCTTAAGGGAACTAAATTAAGATCTCATTTAATCACTACATCCAGCTCACTACAAAGCTCAATTATCCAAGTCTTTCAGACTCGTATCCTGTTCCAAAGAGGTAAGATTCCAGCTAGGGTCTCCCCAACAATAAAACAGAAACTCTGGTTTAGCTACTGAGACTGAAACTTTAGTTATAACATTTTGTGAGACTTGGGGGACCTACATAAAATTTTTAGTCTTCTTTTGATTCCTTTCAGAAGATTTTATTGTGATTTTTCAAGGCCTAACCTAAAAACATGACCTTAATAGCCTCTTGGTCTCTCTTTATTTTACACACACAGACACACACACACTCAGTCACTCACACTCCTATGTTATACTCAGTATTATCTCACATATGATGCATACATCTATCTATCTATATATATATATATATACTATATACATACAATATTACAATGTATGTATGTCTACATCTTTCTCTTATACAAGATAAATCTCATATCTTTAAAAAATATGTTCATATTCAAATCTAATAGTACAAATTTTTATATAGATTTATCCTATATCAGAGAGGGCGAACAGGTTCTACGGAAGGACTGCTGTGGCACTGTGCGGAGAAACTTGTAAGGTCACTTTTGAGCACATAAGAACTAGAGAACAACAATCCTTTAGCGATGTTGACCTTGGATACCAGAGGTGAAATGTGAACATGGGTCAACTTATTTGCCATTCCTGTCCCTTAAGAATTTCAAACAGGAGCTTCCCTGGTGGCTCAGTGGTAAAGAATCCGCCTGTAGGAGACACAGGTTCGATCCCTGGTCCAGGAAGATCCCACATGCCTCAGAGCAACTAAGCCCATGCAC